GTGTATTTTGATTTTGTCAAAAAAAGAAAAAAAAAAAAAGAAAAGAAAGAAAAGTGAAAAAAGGGAGAACGGTGAAAAAGGGGGGAAATGGTATTTTCTAACATTATCTGACATGTACCTCCTTTTTGTCCTATTGATTGTCTCAGTTACTTCAGCGAACAAAATGGGAGCTACTGTTTATTTTATCTTTGGCTTATATTACTATTTATTTTAGAATTGCATCGTTTACTTCTTTGTGCTACCATATTTCTAATTTTTACCTAAAATTGATGCGATTAAATACCTTGATTGGTTAAATCTCTTAGATTTGTTATATTTTCACTTTATCCCACTTATTTTACATGATTAAGTTGTTTACTAATATTTAACCATTGCTTTGTTATTTTGCATAGAATAGCAACATTAGCTTCCCATATTTGAATTTATTTAATCCCAAAATTTAAAAAATAAATGTTTAAATTGTTATTTTCCATTGCTTATACTTATTGTTCATTGATCTTTCCAGTGAAGTTATTTTAGCTGCTAATATAGTGCATGCAATTGCGTAGTGGCCGTTTTATAATTTTTACTATTAGTACTTCAACCATGGACCCCTCACAATTTGATGCACTCACCCAACAAATAGCAGCTATCCAATTCCAAATGATAGGTATTCTTGAAGAAAGTAGGGGCCTAACTGCTAGTTTGAATAATTTTAAGCAAATTCCTCATTCGATTGATGTTGATAATTTGAAATGTCCTATAATAGACAATATCGTTATCGACAAATTGATCAAAAATATTTTCGACATGATCGTAGGGAGAGGGATTAGGTTCATAAACGAGAACGAGGCTATGACTGTCACGATATTCATTATCTCCCTTGTCAGATATCCCTACTTTCGACAGTTGCTTAGATCTTGAAATTTTGAGCTAATGAAATACCCGTACACAAGGGAATCGGCTAGTGAATGAGTAAATGCTGAATTTGAGGAATCTTGAATGAAATGTCATATTATTGACGATGAGGCCACGCATTTAAGTAGGTTTAAACAAGGTCTAAGAGATGATCTTAGGTGTAAACTTTCTTTTGGGGGAGTCACTACTCTTAATCACGCTTACTCTTTAACTCGAGAGTATGACTTGATTATTGGTAATCAATATGAAAAGAGTGGTGACAACCGTGCATCCATATCATTAGCGAGAAGACCTTCCCCGTCTAATATTCTTTATATGTTGGAAAATAAAGGTAAAATTCCTGAAATTCCAAGGACTTCTTTTCACTTGTAGTGCTTCAACTATAAGGATGTTGCCCACATCTCTTTCAAATGTCCTGGTCGAGCCCTGATCATTGAAGCACGAACGAATGTAATAGATGAGCTATAAGAAGATCTAGTTTATGAACCTGTACTTGAAGATTTTGATGGCTTGGATTATAGTGAAGACACCTCCTTAGGAGGTATCCGAACTCTTCCAGAGAAACTAGATATTATATCTCTCGTTCCTGACACCTCTCGATTACGTATTATATGTCGTATGTTTACCCAACCTAAAGAAGCTAATGATTTCACTAGCTCCTTTTGGAGAACCATGTCGCCTATGTTTAGCACTAAATTGATATTCTCCACTGTAGATTATAATCAGGCTGATGGTCAAACTGAAGTTGTTAACCAAAGTCTTGGCAATTTCTTAAAGTGTCTAGTCCAAGAAAATATTAGGAACTGAGATTTGATCCTCTCAATAGTTCAAAATGCATTTAACAATTTTGCGGACCATTCTCTAAGTTTTGAGCCCCTATGAAGTTATTCATGGTTACAAGTCTAGGAGGCCTTTAGACCTTATTCTCATGTCTCTACATGTTAGCGTGTCGATGTCGGTTAAGGTTTTGTAGATCATCTTCATGACTTGCAGATTGAAATCGAAAAACAATTTAAAGCAAGTAATGCATTATATAAACTTTGAGCTGATATTTAATACTGGGGATTATGTTATATTACGAGCTTATATTGTTGGTCCTTTAAAAAATTTAAAGCATGTTGGTCTAAATGCATATATCATTAATCTTTCATCAAATTTTGGCCACGGTTCTATTTTAACTAGTAAGGACTTTCTTGCTTACAAAGGTTATTTTAATCCCTTTGACGATCATTTTCTATCGCCACCTGGGAGCTCCCACACTAAATCTTTTGCTATGTATATTCCAATGCCACCTATTATAGCTCATAAAGATAAATTGATGTTATTTTAGATTAACACATTGTATTGACTAATGATAGAATGATTGAGTACTTCCTTGTTCATTTGGTGGATCAACTTGAGTTCGACTATACGTGGAGTCCCAGAGAGAAACTCCATCAGCTTAAACTAGAATTATTGGAGTTTTATCGGAATCAACAAGATTTTCCTTTACTCGGGTCACATTGGTTACATCATATTCTTGGGGATAATTTGTAGTTTACTTTGTCTTCATTTGTTGAGTTTCGATGTTTGATTCATCAGAAAGATCATCCCTCGTGGCATAGCTTAGAGCATTTTGGATATCAGATTCACTACAACTTTTTTTGATTTGTCTACACGACAGAGTTGAGGTCTTTTCCCACCCTAGGAGAATTGATGCGGACCTCAACCTTTTATATTATGGATATTTATTTATGTTTTCTTTATTGGGCTTGTATTAATAGGCTAGCCCAAACGCTTTACGCTTTTAGGTTTGCTTATGTAATGAAACTTGAAAAGGATAGGCGAAGAACTGGGAAATTGAATGAAACGTCTGGCTTGTTACTAAGATCTTCTTCCCCCTCCTTCTCTATGTTCTTCCTTCTTTTCCGATCTTCTCCCTTCTCCCTTCTTACTGTCGTCTGTTTCTTTTTCTCCTCTTCCCTTCTCCTTGCTTATCTTCTAATGTTAAGTTCTGAAATTCTCAATCTATCTTGCAATTTTGCTTCTTCTCCTCTATTTTTAGTTTTCTTAATTCATGCTACATCATAGAGACCTCAAAATATGTGATGTCCAATGCACCTAACTAGAAAGGGACGTCTTCAACATCACAAGCTCGTAAGTTTTACATGGCTATTCTTCGTCTCCTCACCTTTATGTAGCTAACGTGGGCAACCAAACCACATGAACAATCATAGCCTTGAAATTATTTGATGATGCTAAATTACTCGAATTTATTTCGAGAATAGGCCGGATTAAATTTTTTTAGTAGATTCTGATTGAAGTTTATAAAATGTACGATTAAATAACTGCTGATCTTATAAAATGTACAATTAAAATTTAATTACTGATTTTGATTTAAATTTTAATCAACTTTTTTAATCGAACGAAAGAGGAGCAATATAAGCCCTTACTTAATACTCCTTAAAATTTTAATATATTATTCTTTTCTTTTCAACCATACATTCTTTAACAAAATAATATTATATGTAAATAAAGAAAAATTTCTCTTCTTTTTTAACCATACATTCTTCAAAAAATACTATTTCATAATACATTTTACCAAAATTTCTCTTTATAATAGGGCTCAAACAAGGGCTAAGCTTTTGATAATACTCAATTAAGTTGATGGTAACTTGGACAATTCCAGATTATAAAAAAGTAAAATTTCATAAGTAAGACTTTAAGTATTACATATTTCAAAATCAAGAAAACAAATTTCAAATTTCAAAAATTAGCTTTTTATTAAATTTTATTATGATTTAATTAATTAATTAAATATATTTAAGTCACAAATATCACAACTTATTATGCAGTCACGAATTATCAAATTATCAATCACAAATTAACAACTTTTTAAATTACACATTATTTTTTAATTAAAATTTATCTTTTTCATTAGTCACATATTATTTATTGGTCACAGATTAACCAATTTTATAGTCACAGTCAACCAAATAATTTATGACAACTACCAACACTTACGACCACCATTTCCCCGCTATCTCCAGCACCACCACCATTATCGTCGTCACTATAATCACCACCAGCTCCTCCCGATAGCAACACCACCACCGCCATCACCTTCGCATCAATCAAAACACCACTACACACAACCCACCACAACCACATCACCACCACAATAACCACGACACCATCGCTAGAGCCACCACCATGCCTCCACTACCACATCAACAACACACACCATTACCACCACAACACCCAACCAATACGCCCGCATCACTGAGCACCTCGCCCACAGCCTAGACTAGCGCAACGACAACCAACAACAATCACCACAACAGAGCCGTTGCCACGATCACCAGAGCCAACGCCAACAAAATCGTCGCCACCACCATTAGAGCCAATGCAACAAAGCCACCACAACTAGATCTAAACACCACCTTACATTGCCAGGTGAGGGGGACGCCTCCATGACGTTGAGTTTTGCATGCAGCGCCGTCGTGCAGCACTGCAAATCACTCGTATCGGTGCAATTTTGCAACGTTGCAAAACAACCGAGGCACCACCACTGCGTGTCCACACTTCTTTTCTTTTTCCTACGATGACCGACATTTGAGATGGTAGATGGCCAACGACTACTTAGTAAACAAAGAGAATGGATACTAGGGGAGAGAAATTTAGGGTTTGGCTTAGTTTATTTAAATTATAAATTATGTTTAATTAATAAATTCAGATTTGTGAAATATTAAACACGGCATCTGATTTAAGAAATCTATTAAAATCTGTAATTTCCACTTATGATAAATCACAGAATTCATGTAAAATATTAAAAAGATTTCATTCTCTTAAGTACTTATTAAGAAAACTTCTCATTAATTTATACCTCAAGTACCACGTTTTCCAAGTCTATCAAAATCTTCTTCCACCTAAGTTCATTGCTGGCCACACTAATAATTACAATAGCCTGGCTCATCTAGTCTCCAAAGTCCAGGCGGACCAATCAATTCTCACGTAAACACGTGCACACACACCCCCACACCCTCGTTTGATAATCATTTCATAGGCAGGAAAACAAATCTCCCTTATCACATGAAAAAAATTCAAGTTTGAGATTACACACATAATCAATAACAAAGAGGCTAAAGAAAGCTTTATTGCTGATAATATTACTCATTAAACCAGGTAGCAGAAATACTAAGAAAAATTATGTGCATACAAACCATCCTGTGCCACGAGATATTGCAGCGAAGTTACACCTTGGGATATTAGGGAGACATGCAAATGAGTTCGATGAGAACATAAAATCAGTATAAGCAGAAAAGCACTACATCTGAGGGAAGTGTATAAAGCAGTGAACCAGCAAACAGGGCTTCCAAATTGCCACCAAGTTTCGTCCCAGCATTACCGAAGCCGGCCATGGAGCAGAAGAAGCTTGGTAAGTCACTGAGAAAATCTTGCTTAACAGTTGGACCATTCCATCATCCAGCAGACTGGATATCCTTAATAAAACTTCAGCAGATAAACACTCAACCTCGTAAGATTGCATCAATTTAAGAGAAAAAGCGAAGATGATACTCAAGCAGGGAAACGAGAGTAAGGAAAAGACAGGAGAGACATTGTATACCAATAAACAGACAAGCTCTTTTAACGAGAATCTCACATAATACCATTTCAGATACTTGGTCTATCATGACATAAAAAGCAAATCATAACCAGAGAATCATTTCCAAAATCTGAAGTCTAAATTCCTAAGATCTCGTCTTAAGAGGAGGAACTAAATCCATTAACAATCCTAATCCATCAACACTACAGCAGAATTCTCAAAATGGTAACAGCTGAAGGATCTATTGAATATTTATAGAAGGGCATTAAGTAAAAACCAAGATTGTATGCTTTCAACTATGAAATTCAGAAATTAAATTCAAGAAAAGGAGGGAATGGAGTAGCAATGACAATCATTTGACTTTTTCTGCAAATTTCAGAGGTCCTATAACAATGTCTTCCTTTGTTGCTATCACGTTTGCCTTTCGCCCTAACATTATGCATCACGCAACCAGATTTCCATCCAATCTAAGAATGTAAAATTAATCCCCACAAGGAGCAAAGGAACTGATTTTAAGAGTGAAATTTTGCTACTATGTTCAAATCTGGCTGTTTTTGAGAGCACAGATACGTTCATGATTATACTTACTTCAAGAGCTCAGCATCTTCGGACTGATATGCACCATTGGATATGGTAGACAACTGCAGCTCCAGACTAAACAAGAAGAGAAATGAAAAACAAAGAGATTAAAAGCATGTTAGGAAAGTGTTTATAAACAGTTAAAATTATGAATATATAGAAATGAGTGATGGAAAAATAAGTAGTACTTTTGGGTCCTTCAAAATGTGTGGCTTGAGCATTTATAAGCAGTTTATAAACATGAGCCAAATAAAGGCTAAGTGAAACAGTCCAAGACATCTAAATATCATGGCCTAAATGAATTGAATTATGAAGTGACCTAGGCTCAAAGAATTTGACAACTTTGGACTCTACTATGCCCCAGTTTGACTCTCTGTTTCTTATACTCATTTTCAACTACATATTCACCCAATAAAATATTTTGCTTGTAAATCCAAAACTTTTCCCAACTTTTTAATTACATATTCTCCAAAAAATTGCTATTCAAAATATCATTATCCTCCAATTTCTCTTTATAATGGCCATCAAACATAGGCTATATTGCGCATGTAGAAAAGAAAACTAGCCTTTTCCAACAAAACAAATGTGCTGGGATCCCATTCAAGTGGAAGAGATCAGCTACCCAATAAAACATGACCTGCAAAAAAATTGAAATCAAGAAAAGGAATGCCAGTCCAACCATCAATAAAGAAATCACTACTTGTATTCTAATGTTCTTTAAACCAAGAATCCTGTGACTATGAGGAATTTTGTTTGACACCCACCTAAATCTGGTGCAAACAAGATCTTGAACATCAGTGGGAGGAGCCTAAGAAGCTTCTGCATAACGATGAGGAAGATATAAACGACGACTTACCACTTTGAAGACAGAACCACTTGACAAGATCAGGAAATGGCATAAGCAAACATGCTTCCTGAAATAACAAACACAAAATTTGTCAAGAGAACAAAAAAGATAATGACTGAGACAGAATTAATAATCATTTTCAACTCCCCACCCACCCCCACCCCTTCCTTTCCCCCCACACTGGAGCACAGTTCCAACAAAATAGTTTCTCAACTAAGATAATTTGCAGTACGCAGATGTTTCTACACCACTAAACACTAAAAATGAGACAGAAATATTTTCCTTCTCTAAAAAAATAAAAAAGAGTAGATGTTACCAACCAAAATTGAAATAAAGAAGAAACAGGAATAGAGAAATTCAATATCGGTTCAAAATCCATGTCACATAAAGAAATGGTAGCTTATCCGCATCATACCTTCTCCAAGAATCAATATTGCATTTGCAGCCAAAGGTACCACTTCATGAATTTTTTCGCTGGTAAAAATTGCTTGTGTCACTAGCAAAAACATGAATTAAAATATGTATGAGTACATATAAGGGGCTCAGTTTCAATATTTAGTAGTCAATACCATAAATGGGTTGTGAAAAAAAAAAAAAAACTAAAGAATGCTTCTAGCTAAACTACACGAGATTTATTCATCATATATCACGGTAAAAAACTCCAGTTTCAGATATGAGAAGGCAATAAAATTCCACCTATTTGGAAGCCAATGCTGATTTACTAGGTAAAAAAGTCAAAATAATTGTGGAACTGTATGATGAACTCTTTCAGAAGCAAGTGTTGGGCAAAATAGTTTGACGGAGAACAAAGAACTAAGTTTCTGAATGCATGTTAGAAGCTACATGTGCAATTACTATTAATCAAACGACTAGCAACAAACAGAATGAGAAGGCATTTGCCGAATCCAGATTGTTGTGGCATTTGAAGTCCAGAATAATCATTATGCAGTTGTTATCTGATCATTCTGGTTAGAAACAATCAATGCATTAATTTTTTTACCTAAACATACCACCTTTTCATAATATTGATCACAAATGTGCATGAATGCCAGGAAAGGAAATCTGCAGACAGGGACATGAAGAAAATTGGAACCTGAGGTTTGGATGAGCTTTTCCTCGCTGTCTTTACTTTTCGTTTCATCAGTAGAAGTATCCATGCCAGACATTACCATCCGGTGTACAGTATGATGTCCATCTGATATCCAAACAGTTTGTTCGACTGCATATTGATGGCAAGAGGTATTTCAGTTGCTGGTTGTGATGCCATTATCAGAATTTCTTATTTTCTTATGAAGCTAAAGTCGGACGCAAAAAAATTGGAGAAAGTATATGGTCATATTGTTTGAGGTTATTGCCTATTTACAACGTCAATTAAATAAGATGTTTGATTATGCTTATGCACAATCTAATTCAGATTTAAGACTTCAAGAAAACAGAAGCAAGCATACCTGAAGGAACATCACGAAGAACCGCCAGCTTTATAACTTTCATCGTCTGAGTTAACTGTTTCATGTGACAAGCAGCTTCCAATCCACGGACAGAATAAGAGAGGCATAAAAGGTGTAGATCTCCAACAGAGTCTAAAATCAGGAATTTGTCTGCTGATAGTGCCTGCATGGATGTTGCCTTTGCTGATTTCCCATGCATCTTCACTGTTATTGAACTTTCAACATCATCTCTCTTGAAAGCCACAAAACATGCACCACTATCCCTAGAGTCTTGCCTAAGTTTTATGGACCTCAACTTTACTGCAAGTTACAACGCACAATCAGCAGCTGTAGAAATGGCAAAATAAACAGTTTCAGAGGCCTATTACAAAAACCTCATCCAATGAATAGTAGGTAAAATTCAGCCCTTGTTTGAGCCTCATTCTTTGGAAAAAATGCATTCTTAAACGATGCTTTGATATTATTTCAACCACACATTCTTCTATAAAATAATATTACATACAAATCCAAAACTTTTCCGCATTTTTAATTACGCATTTTCCATCAATATACTATTCAAAATGCATTTTTCCCTCCAAAATGGGGCTCAAACAAGGGCTCAGTCTAAAAACATCACAAATTTATTAGAAAACTACCAATTCTGCAATGAAGATAGAGTACTTAGCTGTAAATTAATAAGACATAGAATTCAGTGAAAGTATACAAACCAGCCAAGCGTAACAGCACCATTTCTAAGCTCTCAATATTCAACTCATATATAGAGCCCAGGAATTTATAGTGATTCACAAAATAATCAATCGTTAATCCAGATTTATTTATCCAGCAAAGAAACATTTTCCAAGTAATAGCAGCTTCACATCATTTAAGGAACAAGACGATCTAGAATACATGGCTATTCATAAAAATGAAAATTTCTGTCTCAACAAGTGGAGAATAATATTTATAGTAGGAACGATACAAAAGTACAAAGTTAGAATAAAATATCTAATCTATGGGGTTTATGACATCTTGATGTAACTTAGATAATAGGACTTCTCCATGAAAAGTTTATCATGACTTAACAGTGCATCGGTGAGTGAAGTATCACTTAAGTGAATCTCCTGTAAAGAAATAATAACAACAAAAACGAAATAACCAGAAAAAGGGACGAAAGAAAGGGCAAACAGAAATTAAGATCCTGTTTGGGCTCCATTATAATGAGATTTTGTAGGAAATGTGTTTTTGAAAAGTAATTTCTATGAAAAATGTGTTATTAAAAAATAAGGAAAAGTTTGGCTTTACATGTAACATTATTTTATGAGAGATGTATAGCTGAAAATGAGTTTTGAAAAAAAATGCATTTTTGGAAAATTGGAGGCCAAACAAGGGGCTAAAAATTGTCCTAGCTTTTTTTTCTTTCCTTCCGATCTAATAAACGAAACACATAACTAATAAAGCTATCCCATTTCTTTCCTTCTACCATGTGTTCCCTCATCGAAACAAAGATCGGACTATTAAACTCGCAAACTGGGTACTAATTGATAATGGGAGGATGAGATTAATACAACCATCTCAAAGAATGATCCATAATCAAGTTTGGAAAATAATCATAATTAAGGTTGCAAGAATTTTGCTCACTGATCACCCCTTATTTAGTAATCCATTCTGAAAGTTGAAATCTTTTAGTTAACCTATAGTTGTGTACGCGAGACCAAAAATATAAAAAGAAAAATTAGTACGTATAAAATTCAACCAAGATAGACCAACAATTTTACTTCGGTCCCATCCTCAAACACAACCTCCTTTAATAAAAATTGTCCTCCATTTTAGATATTAAAAGTTTCCTCTAAATTTCTCATATACCAAAACCATTTACATGAGTTAATTAAGAACACCACCACGTACAGGGGGCTGCGGCATGAGGCATACTTGATGTTCTCAATGAACCATTTTACTACAAAAATGGTAGTCAATGTTAAGTTACACATATCATAGCTTAAATCCCCTAGATAGGTTCATAACTCTAGTTTATGAAGACGGGATTCAAATTACATAATAGATTAGTTCAAGGACAAAGTTTCCAATGTTTCCAGAGCAAATCAAATCGGTTTGAATTACAAAGTAATATAGCTAGCACTAGAAGGACAAAGCGAACCAACTGCTACAAGGCCTCTACAACCAAGAAAGAGTAAATATGAATAAGGGATGACTTGGGCAGATTATTATATACATATATCGACTCTAAAACAATAACCAACCTTAGGGTTAAAAGTTTGAAAATAAACAACTAATAATTAATGCATGGGGCAGAAAATTTTGATTAAGTTAGATAAGGAACCCATAAGTTTTTTACTCTTCATGAATAATAATGACATCCAAAAAAATAGACTAAGAAGTTCTCATACCCCACAAATGTGGTATGGTATTAGACATAAATGATAGAATATATATATATATATATATATACACACACACACACACGAGCTCAACTTTCAAGGTATCAGCACGAAACAGCAATAATGGACGAATGACAAAATATAACATCAAAATTATAGTTTGCTTTCTCTCCTTTCTGTGCTATTAATTCTTTTTGGCATCTTCAGTTCTTGGCATTATATTGAAGCGTAGAGACTATGTTCTCAGTTGTTAATTTTCCATTCCATATACTCATAATTAGTACATGTATTGAGAAGTGTAAATACTTATCATGATGGATATTTATGTTTCTTTTGTAGATGTAACTACATTGAACGTGTCAAACCACATTAAACCTATGAACTAGTTAACAAAGTAACAAGTTCTCCAAGTACTATTTGCATGTGAGGGTAGTCAGTCAGGGACTTCCATGAAATAAAAAGGGGTCCCGCAAGATCGCGATCTAATCTTTCGTATTCCAGGGGCAGATAAGCCAATAAAAGACCCACTCGAACCCCCCAAACCCTCTCAGAGAAATGGAATCACAGTTTCGGATAGAGGAGGAAAATATGTGTGCTCAAGGTAAAAGGAAATTTAAAATTGCTTTTTATTTTTCAGGAGCATGTCCAACGTGCATTAGATTTTGCAATAAGCCAATAGCATTCCCAAGAATCATGACACAGAAAGACCTGATATAATAAATTAAAAACCCATCAATTTCATTCATTTTCGGGAAAACACTAGAATCTCCAAATCCAAGGGAGTTATGCAGTTATCTACGATCAAAGCAAATGCTGACAGATTCAAGTGAAGAAACAATCATAGGGTGCAACTGTCGTCCTTGTAGCCTAACAATAAATGGAATGAAAGGACAGCTACTAGCGGCTATAATGAAGCAAATATCCAACCATAACTTCTACGGCAAAGCTCGTATTATTATTTATAAGATATTCTACAGCAGATTGTGGCATGTCCCAGAATTAATTGTCTTTCCTTTCAGTTATCCAAATGGTATTTCTGCAGGCTACAAATACGAAACCTACATCTAATTTATTGGATCTAATGCTACTTCACTGGAATTTAAGAACATGTTTTTCACATAAACCATGACCAGAGTAAACATTGAAATGCACATTATTAAAAACTCTATCAATTCAAGCAAATACATTTTTAGATCACAAATGCAACTTATTGGGTTCAAAAAGTTCCTGGCCACAGGCCATAAATTTTGAGGCTTTGACAATATTTTAACCCCCCCCCCCAAAACCCAACCCAACCCGCACCACACACACACACAAAATTCGTCAAACAAGGAAAAAGCAGAAGACCAAGCATAGCAAAAACAAGGAATAATCCGAAAACTCACCACTATCAGAATGCTTCTCAGTCTTTCCACCCTTACTAGACACCAAATTCAAATCCTCCTCTGCAATTGGAACTTTTCCTCCACTACTATTTGCAAAACCGGTTGCGGCATCAACCCCATTAATCAACCCATTCTGCAAATTCAATCTTTTACAAACTCTCTTCTCCTTCCTCAACTTCCCTTTCACCAAAGGTCGCAGCGGAAAAACCCTAACCCCATTCTCTTCACCCAGAATCAAGTATCCCGACAGAACCCTCATTGTGAAAACCGGAAAACAACAATCAATCACCGCACACTTCATCAATTTCAAAACTCCTCCATCTCCATCGTCACCAACCATCCTCACAGCAAAAACCCATATCTTCAAATTCGAGACTGAATACATTGAAAACACATTAATCCCGCCAGACAACTTCACCGACACCCCATGATTGACCTTAAATACAACCCCAAACTTATTTTCATCAAAATCCAAGTCCCCATGACTGGAAAAAACTCTAATTCTACTAAACCGGTCGTTGGGTTTCCGTAGGAGATAGAATCGAAAGAGGGTGTCAGCCGAGGGGCGGAGGAGAGGGGAGGAGGTGAGGAAGAGAGTGGCGGTCGAATTAGCAGTTTGGAGGTGGAAAAAGGTAGCGGAAGATGTAGGAGACGGAACTAGAATTTGGGATGAGGGAGGAATGGAGGAAAGAGAAAGCGGCGAAATAGAAGAGTAGAGAGAGAAAGAGGAATCGGAATGGCGTAGGGCGAGGGATTTGGAATGGGGATCATAGAACAGGGAGGTGATGCGGGGGGATAGTGTATAGATGGGTTTTGGTATGCTGAGCTGCCGGGCTTCGAATTCCGGCGATTGTGATGACATAATAACCGGTGCCAGAATCAAAATTACACCGGTGGAGAGATTAGGGATTTCAAGTTACAACTGTGTGTTTCTGTGTGAGAGAGAGATTCAAGTTTGAAGAAGAGGAGACGTGTGTTTGAAAAAGTTTACATCGGTACATATAACTGTTTGGACAGTGAGTTCGTTAAGAATTAAGGATTAAACTTATGTTTCATCAAATTTCGAGTTAAAATAGGATAAAATGTCTTAAAAAATTATTTCGAGTTCAAATAAAACTCGTATTGACTAATAAGCCTGAATATAATTTTAATCTTTCAATCAAGTGTATTTCTCATTAGAAATATTTTAGTGTCTCCTGAAAATTCAGGTACTAAGCATCATTAGCGGGAACAATACCGATGAATCGACATGACTGTCCGTGCTAACTTTGCCAAAATTTAAAGGTTGGAAAATTTGCTGGCTGCTTGAGCCGCAAGTGAACGGTTTGCGCCCCCCCCCCCCCCCTTTTTTTTTTTCCCCCCCCCCCCCCCCTCCTTTTGTTTTTGTTTGAAGAATTGTGATAAAGAATTGGAAGGATCATCAACGAAGATCTCAACAAAGAGGGCGAAAAGAGAATAGAGGAAGAGTTTGAGGGAGGAGAGAGTGAGGAATGGAGAAGAGGATTTGACAAATATAAAGTAAAACCATGGCTCTCCCGTGTTGAGCTGCAATAGCAATGGAACCATGGCTTCTCGTTTTGCTGTTGTCGACAACTTCACCTCACCAATTCTTCTTCAAAAGACCAAACATAGAAAGAAAGTTTTGTTTACCATTGAATTGAAGCATGTAAGGAATATCCAAAAGACCAACTGGAAGATCATTTTATTCAAACAAGAAAAACGTGAACAAAGAAGCTAATGACTACTTTACTTAATAAATAAAACAAGATAATAATGTATAAACAATGATCATTTTGGGAATGCAAGTCATTAATAGCATACAGAGATAATTTTTCTCGTCAAGGGCATGGATAGAGGGCAACGTTGAATTTTAGACGAGAGCAGTCCAAGCTCAATTAAATTTTCATATGTATATGATTTTTACGTTTTAGTACATTTATATATTGACTGAAGATTTTTTAATATTATTTAATTAAATACTGATAAACAATCCGACACGGCTAAGCACTAGTGGTATTACATTTTATTATTCATTTTGATTGGACCATATTATTTGCAACATTTTTGAAATTTCCTTTTTTCAATATCGTTGGTGTTTATTGATCATGAATCACACTAGAAAAATTTAATGGTGAGAATGGCTTAATTTTGGCACTCAAAGATCTTGATAAGATGTTCACATAATACGTGATTTTTGAAAAAGAAAACGGGCTTGATGGGTTCTCATCTTAAAATTGTGTAATGGGCATTAGGATCTAAATAATGTATATAGTTACAATAATAAAATAATAATAATAATAACTACTCCTTCCATCCCACAAAGATTGACTTATTTCCATTTTCATTAGGTTAAGAAAATTTAGTAAGAACAATTCTCCCATGGTCCGGAAGATATTATTACTCTAGGCAATACCATGATAGCGCCAGAAGATACAGGGAAAAAAAATAATAATAAAATAAAATAAAAAATTCACTTTTGATAAAAAAGAGATGTATTTTAAAATGCTACTCCAGAAAAGTCAAGATGGAATGTTAGCAAGAGAAGTCATTTCAAAAGTTACCAACTCTTTTTCTATATCCACCAGATTAGTTTCTTGCATGACACAAATTGTTTTACTATTACAAGTGGTGACCTACCAATTTTATCTTCATAGCTTGTGAAAAAGGTTGGTCTCAAGAGAATTGAAATAGATTCATAATGAATGAAAGATATCCCTTTTCGTCGTCGAACATATATAAAATCCTTGTCAAAGGCTTTAGATGTGCAAAAATCAGTGTTCATAAAATAATCAAAGAACGATATATTTTGCCGTACTCAAATCTTGTGAAACCATATTTGACATAATACAAGAAGAAAGCAATGATGGAGTTGTTCTAGTCAATTATCGACGAAGGTGCACTGGCATGTAAACCTTTGTCCGTCAACATGCAAAATCAAATTTATATAGATGAAAAGTGATTTTATATGTCTATGACATCACAAAAGTATTATCTTTATCCTATTGAAATGGAGCCATTTCACACATGCAAAAGTAAAATATTTATTGCGAAGCTTATGTTTTTTGCCATTGTTGCTCGTTTACGGTTTAACGCTACTTCTAGTAAAGAATTTATTGGAAAAATTGGAATATGGTCATTTGTGTGGAAAAGTAAACACCATAAAGTGGAGAGTTAGGAGACAAAAGTCAATTTTGTCGATTACTAAAGATGTTATTTGATCAAGTTCAATCGAAAAATTGTTTCCTTCAGTCAAAGAAAAGTGCCATGTTCTAATTCTAGGATCGTCTTCATTCAAAAAGATAATGCAAAGTCATATTTAGATTTCAAGTTCGTAGAAGCTGGAAGAAAATTTGCATTCGACATTCGTTTATTTTGTCAATTCGTGAACAGTCTCCATATGAATGTCGTGGATTTTAGTTTCTTTAGAGCTATTAATTCACATCAACATCAAGAGGCTTCTACTAAAATTGATGAATTTGTTTCAGCTGTGGAGGGCTTTTCACATATTCCCACGTGAACATAATATTACAATCTAATTCCAGCAAAGTTGATATTCTTGAGCTCCAGAACTTGGTTAAAAAATTCCAATAAGAAAATTAAAACTTGGGTAGAAGAGAAACATGTTAATATTCTTGAGTTACGGAAATGTAATTATTTTCTACTATTGGAGCTTTTAAAACGAGCAATGGTCTCATCGATTTATTCAAGTTATAACCCCTTGTGTTAATTATTCTAGGAGTATCTTTAGAAATAGAGTAATGATATTTGCAATTGTTCACTGTTATAGTCGTCCTATGTGCATACATATGACGGTTAGTAGTTTGATACATTAATGTGGTAATTTTTTATTACCTTATGCAATAAATCACTAACCGCTATGTGTATGCCACATAGAGGGACTGTGGTAGTGAGCGACTACAAATAGTATTATTCTCTAAATATTGTGGGAATATGAATGGTCTTTTAGCTTCTGGCCCATAGTTTAAGACAACAATAATGATGCTGAGGCATTTTTATACTCCAAATATATTTGATTAAATATCATAGAAGATAGAATGTGCATGTATGGACATTTTATTTATTATTTCTATTACAATTGAATAATGATATTTCGGTGTTATTGATAACAAGACACATTAAATATGGATATATTGAAAAATGAAGAATTCAATTATTCCCTCAACGAGGAAAGTGGACTATAATTCGGGACAGATATACAGAGGTACTTCCACACACCTAATTTAATTTGATTGAATATTACAATACTATAAATAATGAAAAAAAAATCAATGACAATGCAAATTGAATGTGAAAAGACTATTATCATTTAAGAATTATTCTGTAGGTACCTAAGGGGGCACATAAGGGTGTCCAAAATTAACACTCGACACCCCTCCAAAAAACTATTATCATTTAAGAATTATTCTATAGGTACATAAGGGGGCACATAAGAGTGTCCATTTTTGGACACCCGGCACCCGCTATTGGAGGGGCACCTGCGGTAAATTTAATGAATGAATTACCTCTCGACGATTTTGAATCGGATCAATATCATGAATAATAATATCTGAGCTATCAAATCAATTTGTCGTCGAGACTTGAATAGTATAACATATGAAGTTCTTTTATCCAAACCGAATCCAAACTTGGATTCCTGACCTAATCAATTCAAAATTCCTTTATTTATCATTTGTTTCCCTTCATTTTTCTATAACCTACCTTACATCTTCCTTGTACAATCATCTAATGAAGTATCATCAGATTGTCCTTGCATTTTGATTAGTAACATAGCTACAAACCCAAATAAACAAGAAGAGCGAAATGCAAAAAAAGAAAAAGAAAAAAAAAAGGTTAAGTTCTAAACTCCTTGTGATTTTTTGGAAGACAAAGACAAAGAAATTTGATAAAGATGATGCTGGTATAAAAGATCTAATATCACTATTTTAGAGTTTGTTTTTTCTTCGATGGGACCTTAAAAAAATGGAAAATAGGAAAGAAAAAAAGTCTCTTTGCTTTGGATATTGCACAGGCACCCCCGGGTGTCCATTTTGGACACCCTTATTTGCCCCCTTATGTGCCCATAGAATAATTCTTGAATGATAATAGTTTTCACATTCAATTTGCATTGATACTGATATTTTCATTATTTATAGTTTGTGAATAACTCATCATTTAATAGTTTGTGTATTGAATTGTATTTGTGGTATGAAAAACTAATTAATAAAAAACCATTAAAAGTTTTAATGACTTGTAGGGGTGTTTGTTTCGTACCATAGGAATACATTTCATTACGATAAGTTGGTCAAAGGTCAAATTAGAGTTGTTTGACATAGGTTTCTTTAAAATTATTTTCGATTATAATATTTGTAGAATTTAAAAAAAAAATTATTACTTTTTAATTATATGTGTTGGGAACTAAGGAGGCTATATGACACAATATGAAATATATAATCCCACAAAAAAAAGGGTTAAAGGCAAGAAATAGATTGGCCGAAGAATATAATATTTTATTCAACAATCAATAGAGAAAATAATATTGTTATAGTAATCCCTAAATTAAATGAAGAGTCTACTATTTATGAAGAATATGTCAAAACCCTAGAAATAACCTAAAAAATGAAAATTAGGTCAGAACATGCGTGTAAACAAAAAAGGAAAAATCTTCTCATGGCGTTGTCGCTTGAGCGAGAGCTAGGCAATAGCTTTCTACTCCAAAAGTTCGCCTATTACTCAAGCGGTAAGCTGGCGACTGTCAACGCCGAAAATTTGACTTTTTTTCACTTGGACCCTATTTTTACATCTTCAAGCGCAACACTCCAAATCACTCAATCCTAGATCGAATTTGGATCATAAATCTAACCATACGTTGTTCAATAAATTCAATTATTACTTCAAAAAGTACGTCTCACTAAAAAAAAAAAAAAAAGTGAGAAACGTGTATCCATCAAATAAATCAAGAGGAATTTTCATAAATGTTACTAAATTTGAAAATGCAAAAAAAAATTTCATTTGCACTAAATTTGGTCAAAAATGTCACTTTTTGGGTGTAAAAGACCCATATTATACTTAGTGACATCTTTTTAGAAGCATTTAATGCTTGATTTGAAAGTCATTAATGTTGTGACGTGATGATTTGTTTTGTATATTATAAATATTAGAAATATGATTATTATATTGGATAATATGAATTTTGGTAAAAAAAAACGAATTTGGAAAAAAACACACATAACTTCTTACCATTCACAAACTCTAACTTCTAACTTCTTATCCATCTTCTTCATTTCATTATAACGAAAACCTTACTATTAAATTCATCATCCATTTTTCAGAGGTTAGCTATTAGAAATTATTTATATTTTCATCTTATAGCTTACTATTTTAAACGTTAAATAAAATATAGTCATATTTATTTGAAATTTTTGAAACTCTTATTCATTGATTTGTTTAATTCTTGATATATTTTTGAAGGAAAAAGATATCAACATCCTTTAGAAAATGTTAAGGATTCCATAATTAATTAACTATTAAGTTATTCCTTGTTTATTTTTGGGAAGATGTTGTGATGTTACTGTTGAGAATTGATTATCACCATTAATGTTTTGAATGATTTATTTCAAGGTACCAAATACATGTTTTTACATTTCCAGACAATTTCGACAATTCAACTATTGAATTCGACATTTTGAAACCGTCATATTAGACATTTTCACTGTCGAACTCGACATTTAGAAACTATCGGGATAAATAATTTAACTGTTAGGATTCAACTATTCATTTCACCTTTTGTTATTTAATGGATTTAAATCTTCAAAAGTGTTACTTTCATACTATTAAATGTCGACATATAGATTGTGTAGAGTTCTTACCCTTGCAATATCTAGTAATCATTTGAGATTCATCATGCCACATGGAGAAAAGTTTGTTTATGTGGATGACAAATGGAAGTAGAGAATGGACAAAACCACTTTCGTTTTAGTTCCGACAAGTATTACCCTATGCACTCGTTATGGTAGAGTTGACCATAATCGAACCACGTATTCCAACCCTATTCTAACACAACTCATGTAAATAGGCTTGATATCTAAAAATAGCTGATTTTGTATTCTGAATGTTCCCCTGATAGCGTTGTACATTCTGAAATTATATCATCATTATCATTTTATTACTGTTTGTAGACATTAGTCGTGTTTAAATTCACAAGCAAAATAATTACATAGATAAAAATTGCATACCATCTGACAGAAGGATTGTATAATTCTCAAAAGATGGTTGCAAAGTAGAAATTTTGACTACAAAAATATATATAAGGAACATGTTGTTCCCGAACACATTGTCAACTTACATTATTATTAGCATTTTTTATTATCATTTACAGACATTGCACAATATCCTGACAGTTAAACTATCGGTCCCAATAGAAGGTTTCTGTCATTTTCGACAGTTGGTTGCAAGCAGAAAATGTAACTATAAATAAGATGCATAAGAGATAAGTTGTTGCAGAACATTTGGTAAAGGCGTTACTATATTTATTCCTGACAAAATTATAATATATAACTCAACAAATTTTCTCGTCCTAATTGAACAATCCAACAAATACGAGAAACGATAAATGATAAAATGTGTAACCATATGTGGATGTAACCACCAAATCATGTTTATAACCACATTCTTGGAAGGGAGCAAAATGAGATCATTTAGTACACAAATCAATTATAATGTAGTATTAACAAATTTTGTCACGTTATTTCTTTACTCTTTTTCTCCTCTCTTTGGTGTATGGAGTTCTAGTAAATGCTGCAAAAAATCGAATATGTGTCGATTATTGCCTTTTTGTGTTAATAAAATCATTACTTTCGATGGGTATGGTAGTCGCATCCATCGTGCTACAAGCTGAGGCAACTTTCTTGTTGTCTGGGCATGACACTTGAAGCTCTATGGCTCCTCCATCTATTTGAAAACAACGTTTGCAACACTAACCGACATGAGTTCATTATTTCTTGTTTGCAAATTACGGAATAAGATAAGAGTATTTAAAATTTTGAATTCTTCATAATTAACGCACGTACCGTTCACCTCTTGGTTTTCACTAGGCAATGAACCCTCATGATTATCCGAGCACGGGTTAATGCCTCCTCCATCTAATTGAAAATAACAATTACAATACTAATGGACATTAATTCAATATTTATAGTTTGCACATTACGAAATAAGATGAGTATATTTAAAATTTTGAGTTCTTCAGATGTTAATGCTAAACACACGTATAAGAAAAAAAAACTATAATGTTCAAGAAATACTGCATTTAATTCTTGAGAATGACAATTTATATCGAAAGATGACTCATCTGTCAAGAATAACTGAAACGAACTGTCGGGAACGACAATTTATCGCAACGGATAAGTCACATAACTGATCTTTCAAGAAGTTCTCGTGTGTCGAGAATTTATAACTGTACAGACTTTAATTGTGACAAATTAAGCATTTCGCTTGGAAAATTCGATACCCGTGCCTAACTTAGAAAAATATAATAAATAAGATAGTTTAATCGATTGAAAAAACGAATATATTCGAAACCTTACCTAAGATATTCTGCCTCCTTCTGTATTGACGTAATAAACGGGATCCCAACATAAGAATTTGCATTCCATATGGTTTTCAAAGAATCAAGAGAGGAACCACAAAAAAGAAGAAATGAGAAATGAGAAATTTTGCAAAGAAATGTATTAAAGAGAGAAAAATGAATGAGTTAAGAATTATTGTAAGGACTTTGAAGTGCAATTGTGAGGTGATTGATTGTCATATTTTCTCCACTTTTTGTACATTTTTTTATATTGTCAACTCAAGGATGTGTTGGGTATTTGAATTTTTAAGAGGGGCGAAAATGTTCAAAATTGAAATTTTGCTAAGACTTTAAAAAAATAACAATTTTGTAAATATAAAGTCAAAAGTTAATTATTTTGATAATTTCCTCGTAGATAAAGCAATTGACGTTGGTGGATGGGATAATCATTGAATAGCTCTTCTAGTGGAGCAAGTTGCATAGTGGAGTTGAAATTGTGTCGGGAGGGGTCACATGTTTACTGATCCAACAAAAATAACATGATATATAAACACATGGGACAACAAGATTGAAAGTATGTTCCGCTCACCCAACATAAAAAGAACATCAAGTTTAATAAAAAATTGTTTTCCAGTAAATTTTAATAAAAAATTAATGAAATTTATTGTCGAACTTTTGATGAAAATTTTATACGTTTCTTTACAATTAATTATTAATTTTTCTTAAATTTTTATCAACTTTTTAACTAAACCAAAACGGAGACTAAAAATTCGATTGGTCATGCTCTAGACTAGTATATACAGGTATCGGGATGAAAGGAAAGGGATTGTTTGACATACCTTTTTATTAAAGTTTTAGCACAATTGGGTAAAGTTGATGAAAAATATTATTAAAATTTTAATAAAAATCTTGAATCACATTAAATATCTGATTAAAGTTAATTGTTGATTTTGATATCAAACTATACAATTTTTTTTTGGAACTTTTCCAAAAAAGCACAAAATGTACTGTTTGAGTACTATTTTTGAAGAAAATGTATTTTGAAATAATAATTTTTTTAGAAAATATGTGCTTAAAAACTTTTGAAAAATGTATCATAAAATTTTTACTTGTTTTGATAACACGATGAAAGTTAATTTCAAAAGCGATATACTTTTCATGTACAGTTCATTTGCCGACTATAAAGCTTTTAGGGTCCATTTGATTGTAAAAATGTAATTTTGATGGAGAGAAAACGAATTTTAGGAAATTGAATTGTCTAAAACTTGTTTTACTGAAAATTGTCAATTAAATGTGCTTGATTGATATAATTTTCTATCTAAAAAATATTAAAATTTTGAATTATTTGATTTTCGTTTGGCTTTATTTTCCATGAAAATTATTAATTAAAGGGATAAAATTTGTTACAATTGAAGATAAAATTTGAATAAATTGAATAAAAAAAAACCCATCAAATACATGGGAAAACCAATTCCTCAAAAAGGTGGAAAAGGGTGGAAAATGGGGTGTTGCCAAAAAAATTTGACCAATCAAATATGCGAAAAGGAGGAAAATGAAATTTAATTTTCTACGTCCATGGGAATTTTGTGTAATCGGCCTTAGATTTAGATAATTTTTTAAAAATGTTTTGTTTATTTAGAAGATTTTATTAAAAAAGCTGGGTATAGCTCTTCTATAAAAAATAAAAAAGGCAAAAGCAGGAATCATCGAATCATTGCAAAATGTTATTCCAAAATTTCACCACCATCAGATAAAGCTTTCCTCATAGAGAAAATAGTTAATTATCATCTTTCACAAAAAAAGAAAAAAGAAAAAAAAAAGGTGAATTTATTACACAAACAAACATGGCCTAACATTATTGCACCGTCCTCGTTAATCATCAACTAATCAGTGAAATTTGGGACGGTAGCGCCGGGCTCGCAGGCCTTGGCAGCCGCCGTGGGCTCCACCGCGGGCGACGGAACAACCGGCTTACCCAGTAACTCTGCCGGCAGATCCGGTATGCCCTTCAGATAAAAGGTGTAGAACAATTTGAAAGGAAAAATAATCTGCTGCAGCTTTACTTGTCCATACACCCCTTCGAATATTCCCGAACCACCAGTCACAGCCAGATAGGTGTCCTCGTAGGTCAAGTAGGGTCCCTGGACCGCTATTTGACCATAATCGCCGAAGTAGAAACTGTAGATCGCCTCGTACCGGTCACCCTTCTTCTCCGGCTCGTTCTTGATCAGAACGCATATTCCGGCAGTTATTCCTGCTCGTTTCTGCAGGTCTCCGGTATATACCTGTTGTACAACAAAGATTTGCTCATAATTCTTGCTTAAACTAACAAATTAAGTAGATTTTTACACTTAGAAGTAATAAAACCTTATTGCTGAAAGGCACAAGGTCGCCAAGGGTATTGACAGTTTTTTGACTCAGTCGAAGATAAGCAGGGCTGCCGCGATCTCTCTCGTTGATCTCATACACGTGCAGTTCTTGAATCTTAGCTGAAACCCAGTAAAAAAAGAGGTAAAAAATCAATGATCATACAGAGATGGAACTGAATTAAATCATAATTAGAGGATCTTGAACCTGCTGATGGGTCGGTTTGGCTCTTGCATGAGAATGATCTTCTAGCGGATGAACTGCCGGCAACGGCGGCGGCGGAGTTGGAAAGTTTAAGGGTTTGAGATAAAAGAGGGTTTGTTTGCTTAAACGAAAGCAGCTTTTGAGCCAGTGAAGTGGCGGCAGCGGTGGAGGTAACTGGTGGCTTGACGGACGAAGGCCTGAAAATAGCATAGGCTGATGCAGTAGCCATTCTTTATAGTAAAAAGCTTGTATCTTTAGCAAATGAGGCTGAAAAAGGTGGTCTTAGTGAGAACTTTATGAATATGCGACAGTAGTGATGGGATATCGATTATAGAGATTTTGTGTGTATATATACACACATTTTTGTCCGTCAAATGCCCCGCACTAATATTTTAATTTCACTGTAAACATAAAGCATTCCTCACATTATTCAGCCCATTTGATAGTAATTTTTCACCTCAAAAATTTAAGTTTTTGACCGTTATTTTATTATTTTAACTGTCATTTTTGACTTTTTCATTCACAAATGGAATCCACTTTTTCTCTAACTGTCAAAAATTAATTCTCATAATCACTATCGAACAAGAGTTTTTAGAGAAATTTTGAAAAGTTAAAAATTTATTCTGAAACTAAACTTTGAATACGTTTGAAAAATGTTTTGAAAGTATTTTATTTGGTTATGCGAGTTAGAAAATGTGATTTTCATGTGGGATAATGAACGAGGAGTAAATGGACGGTGTGGGTGTGCATGTTTTTTAGGGGGCAAAAATTGTACAATTGGTTCCTCCCTTATTGTCATAGTAGCTATTTGAATCTTCAACGTTTTAAAATAAGCAAATTATTTTCCAGTCTTTCATTATAATTGCTTTGCATTATAGGTCTCTAGGGATATAATCATTCAAATTTAAGTTAAATCTTCATATAATTTTCGAACGTCCAACTTTATTAAACTAGATTTTGCACCCTAAACTTAGATGATGTTCAAAAATTATACGTGAGGTATTTCTTGATGATGGTCACATGACAATTTTCCGAATGTTTAAGCCCCGTTTGGTAACAATTTTTCACCCTAAAAAATTAATTTTTTTTTATCATTATTTCACTATTTCAGCTGTCATTTTTAACTTTTTTACTCACAAATGGGATTTACTTTTCTTTCTGACGATCAAAAAATTAATTCTCATAATTACTATTGAATAGACCCTAAATGACTTCTATTATTGGAGACTGATTATGCAAACACTTTCAGATGAATTTGCTTCTATTGAAAAGTTGAGGATCAACTCAATAATGAAATTAATTGCATAAGGACCAACCATGGGTCTGGCCGTAGGAGTAGGCGTGCGGTGTGCAGATTATGGACTGTGCTCTTTGGGTCAAAGAACACTTTCGAAAAGTCAATATAGTACACAAGTTTTCAGTCACGTGGTTTGGGTCTATTGAAAAATATGAACAGCCGGCCAAACTAGTAAGATGTTCTTTTTTATTTTCTTAACTTTGTGTGTGAAATTGTGTGTGTTGGTGATGTTCTTTTCTCACCTTCGGTTTGTCGATAAGATGTTTACACTTGTTTCGATTATTAATTTAGGAATAAATTGGAATGAAACTTCTATATATTCGACAGGGTTTTTTATATAACTGTTGACATTTCTTTTTAACTGTAAAATTTAATTAGATGACGTCAAAGGTATGAGATAGTTTGTGTCCATGAAGGAAATAACTCGATCATGCTTATTTAATCAACAAGTATGGTCTCAACTGTTGGAAAAAATGGTTATGAAATGGGTCAACTTTGAACCCAAATTTCAGTAGGACCCACCTTTTAATTAATACAGGACCTAGCATATTCACGTTCTACTCCGCGAAATGATTAACGTGATATATTTATTTATCGAAAACCATTTAAAATTAAATGAAATATTAAGTGTTAAAGTAACCCACATAAACTAAATATTATGAAAGAATTTGATTTTTCAAACACTTATCCCACATAGGAAAGTTAGGAAACTTTGATGTGGTTTATAAGGTGGAAGTTTGGAATTGGGTTTGGGCCCCAAGGGATACCAATAGTTTTTAGAAGGGGGAAGACCTATATCTTATTGGGTTCGGTCATAAATCCACACGTGCGCGCGCCGCCGTCCAACCGACCTTCCGGCCGGCCGGCCGGCACGGCACAAGTCCGGTTCGGTGCGGGTGGACCTTTGCACTATATTAACTTTTTGGACAAAATTTATTTAAAAATTTGGACCAAATTGTAAATAATCAAATTTTTGGGTACATTATGAAATTTAAATTTTGACTTATTCCGAATATTTTATTTTCTTTTAACAGTCGTCTGTTTACCGACCAAACAGTCGACTGTTAACCGACTTAACAGATGTTACTTTAAAAACAACATGTCTGTTCGAATTTTAAGGTTTGTCTGAAAGGTGATGACTATTCGAATGACCACGAACAAGTCTATAAATAGCCAACCTCTCTACCAGAAAATTTCCACCATTTTCATTACAAACTTTCTGTGCTTTGAATCTCATTCCATCTTTCTCGTTCTGATATTGTCTCGAAGTAAAACACACTTCGTTGAGTTCGTTGGAACTCCTGCAGATTGCAGTGCTGCTGTCGTAGGAGACGAAAATTCTGGGAAACGATTGCTGGACGCCTTTAACACCATTGAAGGTAGCAAATTCGTTTTAAGGAATCATCGTGAAGTCGGTGGGCTCGAATTACTTTTTACATCTTCTTGATCAATTCTTTACATTCAGGTGATTCTGTCGGATTGGTTTCGAAGGAATAACGTCAAACTCTAGAAACAACAATCTTAAAACGAATTTGTATTATTATTTTGTTTCTGTTTTTACTCCTTCTTATCTTTGATCTTCTGATTGTGTTTCAGAAATGGCAACTTCTGGTACCACACTCCCGAATACGACCGGGGAAAAATCAAAAAAGTTTAATGGGTCAGATTTCAAGCGTTGGCAACAAAAAATATTTTTTTATCTGACAACGTTAAATCTGGCTAAATTTCTCAAAGAAGACGCGCCTTCATATACCGAGCAAGACAGTGATGCTGAAAAATTGGCTGCGATTGATGCATGGAAGCATTCTGATTTCTTGTGCAGAAATTATGTACTTAATGGACTGGATAACACATTATATAATGTGTATTGCAATGCTAAGTCCGCAAAAGAACTATGGGAATCTTTGGACACAAAGTACAAAATCGAAGATGTTGGCACAAAGAAATTCATTGTCGGTCTTTTTTGGACTATAAAATGGTTGACAACAAAACTGTCATATCCCAAGTTCAAGAACTTCAAATCATACTTAGCGACATCCATGCCGAATGAATGAAACTAAGTGAATCATTCCAAGTCGCTGCGCTGATTTAGAAATTACCACCTTCATGGAAGGATTTCAAGAATTACCTAAAGCACAAGCGGAAGGAAATGAAACTTGAAGATATCATTGTCCGATTGAGAATAGAAAAAGATAATCGCAAAACTGAAAAAAGGAATGGTGCATCTCATTCGATGGAATCAAAAGCCAACATCGTAGAAGGAGGCTTCAAGACTAGCAAAAAGAGGAAGCACAATGGGGAAGGACAAATTGGTTCTTCAAAAACTACTAAAAAGTTCAAAAGCAACTGTTACAATCGTGGCAAGGCAGGACATCGATCCAAGGATTGTCGAAAGCCAAAGAATGTGAAGGGAAAAGCTCACAAGGCCAATGTAACAGAACATGAGAACCTCACTGATAAGGTACAAGACATGAATCTTTCTGCGGTCGTCTCTGAATGCAACTTAATTGGAAACACTAAGGAGTGGTGGGTGGATACTGGAGCTACTCGTCACATATGCTCAAACCGCAGGATGATCTCTACCTACAAAGCAATGGATCATGATGAACATCTCTACATGGAAAACTCGTCATCTTCCAAGGTAGAAGGACATGGGAAGATAGTGCTGAAAATGAGAAGTGGAAAAGAGCTCACTCTGAATGATGTTCTTCATGTGCCCGATATTAGGAAAAACTTGGTATCTGGTTCTGTACTAAGTAAGCACGGGTTTAAACTAGTAATTGTCTCGGACAAATTTGTACTCTCAAAGAATGAAATATTTGTAGGAAATGGCTACCTGAATGAGGGGCTCTTTAAGTTGAATGTACTGACTGTTGTACCTCCAAATATGAATAAGAATACTTCTTCTTCTTACTCATTTAACATTTGGCATAAACGATTAGGACATACAAATTATAACACTTTGCGTAAACTAATCAAATTAGATTTATTACCAAAGTGTGATTTAAATCCTAATCACAAATGCGATATATGTGTAGAAGCCAAAATGTCACGTTTACCCTTTCGTTCTGTCGAAAGAAGTACCGAACCCCTAGATTTAATTCACACCGACATATGTGATTTAAAATTTGTTCAAACTAGGGGAGGTAATAAATATTTTATCACTTTTATTGATGATTGTACTCGATATTCCTATGTGTATTTGCTCAAAAGCAAAGACGAAGCAATTGAAGTGTTTAAACACTACAAGTTAGAAGTTGAAAATCAACTTAGCAAAAAGATTAAGGCCATAAGAAGTGATAGAGGTGGTGAATATGATTCACCATTTGAGAAATTCTGTTCGGAACACGGAATTATTCATCAAACTACCGCGCCTTATTCTCCTTAATCTAATGGTATTGCTGAACGCAAGAATTGAACATTGAGGGAGATGATGAATGCTATGTTAATAAGTTCTGGATTACCGCAGAACTTGTGGGGGGAAGCCTTGCTTTCTGCCAACTATATTCTTAACAAACTACCACATCGAAAAACACAAAAGAAACCTTATGAAGTATGGAAAGGTCACAAACCTAATTATAAATACTTTAAAGTATGGGGATGTTTGGCTAAGGTAATAGTTCCTAAACCTAAAAGGGTTAAGATAGGACCTAAAACCATTGATTGTGTATTCATTGGTTATGCCTACCATAGTAATGCGTACAGATTTATGGTATATAAGTTTGAAATACCTGATATGCATGTTAATACAATTATTGAATCAAGGGATGCTACATTTTTCAAAAATACTTTTCCTTATAACATGCAAGGTGAATCAAATTCACAAAAGAGATCTCGTGAAAACGAAGAGACTATAGATCAAGAATCTATAAATGAACAACCTAGACGAAATAAGAGGGCTAGGACGTTAACTTCCTTTAGGCCTGATTTTCTAACATATTTGTTAGAAAATGAACCTCAAAGTTTTAAAGAGGCTATGTCATCAACCGAAACTTCATATTGGAAAGAAGCTG